AGGGCAGGGGTCTCCAACCTACTGGCTGAGGAACTCTGGGAGTTGAAGTCCACGGGTCTTAAAGTTGCCAAGGTTGGAGACCCCTGCGCTAAGGAGTCTGGATTTAGCCCTGGTGCTTCTGTCTCTACCTGCCCCTGATAGCTAGGGCAGGGGTCTCCAACCTACTGGCTGAGGAACTCTGGGAGTTGAAGTCCACGGGTCTTAAAGTTGCCAAGGTTGGAGACCCCTGCGCTAAGGAGTCTGGATTTAGCCCTGGTGCTTCTGTCTCTACCTGCCCCTGATAGCTAGGGCAGGGGTCTCCAACCTACTGGCTTGAGGAATTCTGAGAGTTGAAGTCCACAAGTCTTAAAGTTGCCAAGGTTGGAGACCCCTGCCCTAGCTAGCAGGGGCAGGTAGAGACAGAAGCACCAGGGCTAAATCCAGACTCCTTACGCAGTGGTCTCCAACCTTGGCAACTTTAAGACCTGTGGACTTCAACTCCCAGAGTTCCTCAGCCAGCAAAGCTCTAAGTCAGTGGTCTCCAACCTTGGCAACTTTAAGACCTGTGGACTTCAACTCCCAGAGTTCCTCAGCCAGCAAAGCTCTGGACTCTAGAAGTTGAAGTCCACAAGACTTAAAGTTGCCAAGGTTGGAGACCACTCTTCCGGCGGCTCCGAGCGACGCAACGTCAGGAAACGACTGCTCTGTTCAGTCCCGCCCCCTCGAGCCGCTTCCGCCTATAGCCCCGCCCTTTCGCGCAAAGCCCCGTCCTCCGCAGAAGCTGCGCCTGGGCGACTTATGCTTTTCTTAAGTCTACGGGAAGCGCAGCCTTTCTCGCGCTCTTCAATCTCGTAGCGATTGGTCAATGTCTCCGGCAAAGGCGGCCCTCGCTTTGATTGGCAACCCAGCAAGCCAAAGAGAGAGCCAGATAGGCGTGCCCGGGAGGGGCCTCTTGGTGCGCGGTCTGTTGCCAGGGCGTCGGTTGTCCGGCAGCGGCCAATCGGGGCGCGGGATGGGCCGAGGGCGCCCGGAGCCCTTCCCCACAGAAGCACCGCCGCTGCGCCAGGTAGGTCTTCAAGTGGCTGGCGGGGCCCGGCCGGGTCGGAGGCGGCGGGGGGTTTCCCGGCCTCAGATGCCCAGGCGGCCCGAGCCGAGGAGGGAGGTCAGGCCGCAGCCACGGAGGGAGGGAGGGAGGCCCCCAGGGAAGGCCGCGTCTCTCCGAGGCTGAGCCGGGCTTCCCTTTCAGCCGGTCTCCTCCCGCCTGCAGAGCCGCCTCCGCGCGCCTGGACGGGACACGGAGGAGGCGCCGCCACGGAGGATTCCCCACTGACGAAGCCGCCGCCGCCCTCTCGGGAGTCGGAGCCGGGGACCTGGGGGGCTGAGCCCCCGCGCTGCCGGACGAGGCCCCGGTCAGGACAGGGAAGCGGCCATGGCGGCCGCCGTCGCCACCAAGACGGCCTGGAAGCTGCGTGAGTGGAGTCCCCGCTTCGCCCCATCTCGGCCTCCCCGGAAGATGGCTGGAAGGGAGGGGGAAGGGACGGGCAAGCAGGCGGAGGGCTCGTCCCGGAGGTTGGAGTAGGGCGGTCAGCGGAGGCCACTGGCTGCGGCTGAAAGCAGCTCTTGCTTTGCCTGGAAGCCCCAGTTCCAGCTTCCCCCAGATTGGAGAAGCTCTTGATGCTGGAGCTGGGGGGCCCTTCTGACAGTCGAGAAAGGAGCCCCCTCCCAAGAAACGCCGCCCACTGGGGAGAGTCCACTAGCCGCAGCCCTGGAAGAAGCTAATGGCTTGCCCTGCTTTCCTTCCCCCCCATAGAGGAGATCATGGCCCACAGCAGCAACGTCTCTTCCCTGGTTCTGGGCAAGAGTTCCGGCCGGCTCCTGGCCACGGGGGGCGATGACTGTCGAGTTAATATCTGGTCAGTTAACAAGCCCAACTGCATCATGGTAAGATTGGTGACCTTCTTTGTGATGATGGAAGAGATGATGCCTTTGTCCTCCCCCCCTCCATCCTATACTCTGTGTAGTCTATAAAGGAGAAAAGAAATGTACTTAGTAGACATACATAGATGGTGCTGTTGGAATATTATGCTGCCTAATTTTGGCCCAGTGGAATTCCCACAAATGCACACAAAGACTCTTCCTGGTACTGGTACTGCCATGCCATTCCTGAGATGCTTTTGACTGTTGGGGGGCTGAGTGGTAGCCAGGTAGTCCTTGGAACAGGAAGTCCTGTGTCTTTTTTAAAGGGTGAGAGCATAGCATCTTCCCTGGTGGTCCCTTCCCCAACAGCCTGGGGGAGACCTTGACCTGAGTGATCCCTATGTCAAGGACTTCCCTGTCTTGGCCCATGTCCTGCAGAGATCTAAAGCCTGGGCAGAAGCCATGTATTTCTGCACCTGATCAGCCTCAGGTTCTCTTGGGAATCTTGGAATGTCACCTTCGGTGTGAGAGTTCTGTAGTGGATCCAAGAGGGAGGTGCTGCCTTCTCTTGGCTGGAGCTTGAAGCCTCTCAACCACTGACCATCAGTTATTATTGTGTAGACTTTGTTTATTTTAGGAACGGATTTGCACAAGATGATTCTGTGAAGCGCTCAGTGCATGAGTTGTGAAGTGAAGAAACAAACTTGACAAACCAAGGGCTACATTATTTGAGGGGAGAAAGTGACCCTACACAGGTTTTTGTCACTGCTCTAAGAAAGTAATTATTCTGCTGCCCCTTTTGGCTAACAATGTTAATGTTTTGTTTGTCTTGGCTGACTTACCATCTTTTCAACAATGGGCGTATTTTTCACACTATAAGATGCTCCGGACTATAAGATGCCCATTAGCTTTAGAGGAGGAAAACAAGAAAAAAAAATCTGCCTCTGCCTCCCAGCATCCATCTGGTATTCGTCCTTGCAACAAACAGCCTGCCTCATCCATGTCTGCTGCCTCTGTCGGGGAACACTGGAGACTTTGCTGCCAAGTAGCTGATTGACGGTTGGATCGAACTCCTGGAATACCGCCGATCAGATGTTCTGGGTAGCGGGGATCACTGCCGCCCTCCGCTCTTTACCATGTTCACTGCTGATTTCCACCGCCAATTGCCGGTGATCGGCAGTGGCAGCAATAGTAGCTGATTGGTGATATTCTGGGAAGCCAAGACAACCGCTAATCAGCTGCTCGGTACCTATGGCTCAAGTGTTCCCCAGTGTTTGCCGCCACTGCAGCAACCCCCCTCTCCCCAGCGTAATATTCACTCTAAGACGCACAGACATTTCCACCCACTTTGGGAACTGGAGTGTGCCTTATAGTGTGAAAAATATGGTATATCGTAAAGAATTCACGTGTAGATTACCATCCAAGGCAATGTGTATTATCATCACGTTTTTCTACCAGTTTTCCTAATTGAAAGTTCTTGGCCAAAATAATTATTAGCTGCTATTTGATTTGCACTAGATCCCCACAGCAGAATGGTTGAATCTGTAAGGTGAAAAGCTGGCAATCTCACCCCCCCCCTTTTCCCAAAAGCCCTCAAGGAGTTCCAGCCCTTGCCCCAGGCCTCACTTGTTCAGTGGCATGGGAGCTCCTGCTTCCACCCACAATCTCCCCCCTCCCCGCCCCCAAAATGCTGTGTGTGAAGGAAGTTGCTAACAACCTGTACTGCCTTTAATCACCAGAAAAGTTAAAATGGAGACAACAAACACATTACAATGCAACCTCCTGGCTATTAAAATGTGCTGGCCAGAGGATTCAGATGTTCTTTCCTTCTCCAGTGGGAGATGAGCCAATTTCATAAGAGGTAAACGAAGTTACATTTTATTAGGAAAAAAAGACACAAGGATCCCTCCCTTTTTATTTTAATACTTATTAAGAAAGAAGGTAACTTGCGGAGCTGCCCAATTTCACAGAAGTGTGTGTGTTTGTTTTCAAATTAGTCTTGACTCTTGGCAACTACAAAGTCCATGTAGTTTCCTAGGCAAGATTTCTGGCAGTAGCTTTGCAGTAGCTTTGCCTTCTTTCTAGTGCTAAGACAGTGATTGGTCCATGATATATCTAAAGCAAGACTAGAACTCACAGTCTCCTGGATTCTGGTTCAACACCTCTTTGCACTGATTTGGCTCTCTTTCATTAGTAGACACAAAACCTAGCAGAATTGAATTAAGTTCTTTATTGGCCAAATGTAATTGGACACAAGGAATTTGTCTGTGATGCAGATGCTCTCAGCATACATAAAAGAAAAGATACATTCGTCACAAATCATAAGGCTCGACACTTAATGAGAGTCACAGGGTACAAATAAGCAATCAGGAAACAATATCAATATAAATTGTAAGGATAAAAACAACAAAATTACAGTCCTGCAGTCATAAGTGGGAGGATGGGTGATAGGAACGATGAGAAGACTAAGAGTAATAGTAATGCAGCCTTAGTGAATAGTTTGACAGTGTTAAGGGATATTTGTTTAGCAGAGTGGTGGGATTTGGGGAAAAACTTCTTGTGTCTAGTTCTCTTGGTGTGCAGTGCTCTATAGTGTCGTTTTGAGGGTAGGAGTTGAAACAATTGATGTCCAGGATGCGATGGGTCTAGATATTTTCACAGGCCTCTTTTTGACTCATGCAGTATACAGGTCCTCAATGGAAGGCAGGTTAACAGTAATTGTTTTTTCTGCAGTTCTAATTATCCTCTGAAGTCTGTGTCTGCCTTGTTTGGTTGCAGAGCCAAACCAGACATTTATAGTGATGCAGATGACAGACTCAATCATTCCTCTGTAGAACTGAATCAGCAGATCCTTGGGCAATCTGAGCTTCCTGAGTTGGCGCAGAAAGAACAGTCTTTGTTGTGCTTTTTTGATGACATTTTTCGTGTTAGGTGTCCATTTTAGGTCTTCAGATATGATAGAACCTGGAAATGTGAAGGTCTCTACTGTTGATACTGTGTTGTCTAGTATTGTAAGAGGTGGTAGTGTGGAAGGGTTTCTCCTAAAGTCTACCACTATTTCTACAGTTTTGAATGTGTTCAGTTCCAGATTGTTCTGGTCGCACCATAAGGCTAGTTGTTCAACCTCCCATCTGTAGATGGTTTCATCATTGTCTCGAATGAGACCAATCACTGTTGTGTCATCTGCAAACTTCAGTAGTTTTAACAGTTATATCGTTTGAGATGCACTCATTGATATAGAGAGAGAAGTGGAGAGAGCACCCAGGCCTAGGGGGCCTCCTGTGCTAATTGTGGAGGTATCTGCTGTGATTTTGCCTAGCTTCACCTGCTGCTTCCTGTCTGTTAGGAAGCTTATGGTCCACTTACAAGTGTGTTCAGGTATGACCATTATTTGGTTTAAAACAGAAAAGGAAAAATTCCCACCGACATATGTTACACTTCTGGTAAACCACAAGATGGTGGTTTGTTTTACGGGCTGCTTCAACAGTCTTTTGGCAATTTGACCAAACACTTTGCTGGAAGAAGAGAGGGGCATCCACTAAGTTTTGCTGATTTAGCGTGCCTCTAAAGACAGCAGTCTCCAGCAGGATGTGAGTTGTGCTTTTCCGTGGTCACACCCTAGCATTTTAGCCTTGTGGTTGGGCAAATTTCCTTAACCAGTCAGTAGGCAGCTCAACCTGCAGCACACTGAGTGTGATAAGGGAGTTTTCCCCAGTGTTTGGCCCAACTGACCCCCGATAGTGATGGGAAGGGAAGGCATGCACCACCCTAAGCTGTTTAAAGGAGAGGCTAGATAAAATGCCGTCTGCTTCTTGCTCGTAACAGCACTTGTTCCTTTAGGTGCTCTCAACAAACCTTGGCTTTTCCCAAGTTAACAAGCCATCAGTGCAAACCGAGCAACGTGGTTCTTCTACACAAATGTTCGAAATTCATTTGGGTAGCAATGAATGCTGACAGAGTGTTTCTGGCTAATGGTATTTTGCAGTCCAGCGTTTACTTAAGGAAAATTATTATTTTTTTATTAAAAGTTTTGTTTTTTTTCAAAACAGACGCAAAAAATCCTCTTTCTTTACATACTGTAGAAAGTGTATCAGTTGGTTACAAAAAAACTTTGTGTGTTTCTTTCACAATCACCCATGATTCATATTAATTCTAGAATTTTAAATTATTGACAGTTTTTAATTTTGACACTACAAAGGCTGTGATGACTATTACCCCAGCCACCGTGGCTTCCTTAGCAAACCATTACTCTAAACACTGCAAATCCGGTTGATGTTTCATCCAAGGAAGTTATATTGCATCCCAAACAGAGGGACTCTGAAGTTGTTAAGCTGCAGCTTCTAGGCCTTCTCTACAGCTGGGAATCTGAACACAGTCAGTGCAGGGTGAGTCTGGATTGCTGACATTTCAGCTTCAGGTTGAACAAGGCTAGATTGGTGGGCTCCCAATCTCACTTTTACAGCACAAATCCCCAAGGTTTCTGGGCTGATCTGGAGGCCAGTGGAAAATCTCCCCAAAAGGCCCAGTAACTTTTGTCCTCTTAAGAGAAAAAATACATGGCTTCTCGAAGTTGACACTCTTTTCCGGAGCATCAATATCCAAGATCAAGAAATTAGGGTGACAAGGAAAAGACAACTGTAGGAATCATGTTGAGGGCAATCACAATTAAATCAGCCACCATTGTTAAAGTAGCATATTGTTTAGATATAAAGTCATATATAAATCTCTGTTTGTGAAAGTAACTGCTACTGTATTGTTCCGCATTACTCCTCAAATGGAGATGATCTAATTTCCAGACCAAACTTCACAACTCTGGTGATTGCACATTACCAGATAGTCATTCCCAAAGCTTTTCTTTTATTGAAAAATATTTACTGATTAATTTTAGCAACGAATACCCTAACTGTGTATTCCTTACACTGGATTTAAAAAGTCTACATACTGCTGTTAAAATGTCAGATTTTTGAGGTGTAAAATAATCAGAGCAACATGAATCATTTCAATTTTTTTCCACCTTTAGGATAACATAAGCTGTGCAATTCAATTGAAAATCAAACTGAAATCTTTTAGGGGGGGGGAATAACAATTAAAAAACTGACAATAATGTGGTTGCATAAAGATGCACACCCTTAAACTAATACTTTGCTGAAGCAGCTTTTGATTTTATGACAGCATTCAGTTTTCTGGGGTACGAACCTATGAGCATGGCACACCTTCATTTGGGGATCTTTGCCTACTCTTCCTTACAAAAGCACCCCGAATCTGCAAAGGAGATGCCCTCCAAATTGTGAGGGCATGTCCCGCGCACAGCCCTCTTCAGATCATTCCACAGATTTTCAGTTGGATTCAGATCCAGGCTCTGGCTGGGCCATTCCAAAACCTTGTCTCCTCCTGGGAAGCCATTCTTTTGTTGATTTGGAGGGATGCTTTGGTTCATTGTTGTCCTGTTGAAAGATGGAATACCTCTGCATATTCTTCGGCGCTTTAGCAAATGGTGAATAGACTTTCTACATCCACTCTATATGTCAGCACAGCGCCCAACCCCATATTTCCTTCTGGGTCAAAGAAATGGAACTACTTTCCATTGGTCGACCTTTGTCTCCTGGCTACCCCAGATGTCCCTGGAGCTGAACGTCCATAGATGCTCTTTTTAACAGGGCAGTCAGAGAGATTCTGCCTTTCCATGAAGATAATTCAGAAGCAGAAATAGCAGCTGGTCAAATAGGAAAAAAAAACCAAAGTAATCTATTTTGCAGTCATCCTTTAAACTTTACCACACACAAAATCAGGAAGGTGCTTATTATTTACTGAGACTAGCAAATTGACATATTTGCATAATTTTGACCCGTCTTGCACCAAAAGACAAAAGGAAGCCTATCACAAAAAATCTTTATGTGCTGCTACTGCTCAGATCCTTATTTCATGAGCAACTTAATTGTGGCTAGCACCCCTCCCTTCTTCATTTGGCTGACTCTTGTTTCTTTCATCTTGATCAGAGCCTAACCGGTCACACAACGCCTGTGGAGAGCGTGAAGATTAATACAAACGAAGAGCTCATTGTGGCAGGATCTCAGTCAGGCTCCATTCGGATCTGGGACTTGGAAGCAGCTAAAAGTAGGTTTGAAAAACATTCTGGCACCTTCCCTCATCCCCCAGCTGGTCTCTAGAAAGGAAGCCAGAGAACTAAGTTTTGCCCTGAGGGTTTAGTCTCTTTCAGTTGAAAGCCTGTAATTGACCTTGGTCTGTTCTGGATAAGAACTGGGTCTCCCTGGATTCTCCCATGGGAGCCACAGAGAATGATAAGGAGTTTTGAGCCACAGAGTTCCTTTCTGGCCACACAGTAGCTTTGCCTTAAGAAATCCTAACAGGAAAAACAAAAACGCACATGGCCCTCAGGTTTTCCATTCCACGTAGATACTTATTGAAAAACTGATTGGTGGTCTTATTTAGAATTAAGTCTTAGTTAAAAGTGCTGTCATTAACATAACTGGTTCTCCTTCAAACAACAGAGAAAAGTTATACAGCACATAGATTGGGATCTCATTTGATAAATATGTATAGTACAGACACACAATTCAGCAATTATAGCATTTTAAATGCCTTGCCATGCACTTTTCAGAAAGCATGAAAATGCCTTGCTAGCATCAGTCCCTTAACGAGAGCCGGGCTTCATTAGAAAAACATGATTTTGTGGCCGCCTTAAAAGAGCAGGTGATATTTCAAAGAATGCAGAAAGGATTCTGGCCTGTGGGGTCGTTTCTTGGGACATTGGCTCTTTTCTGACTGTACGTTTCACCTATAAGCCATGGCTAAGTATAAAACTGTATATAAATGTGCAATCATACAGATATTGCAGCTATAACAAGAACTATTTGAAAAAGAATTAGAAAATGGAAAAAAATGATCTCATAAAACGTATTGATTAACACAATAACCCAGAACTTCATTGTGTTTTGAAATAAAAAGATAACTCTGCTATGTTGGCCAATTGCATCCTAAAAGCAGCAGGCATCACCGGATCACCTACTCGCTCAGCCTGTGGAGGAAGCAGCCCCGGGGGGTGGGGGGTAGAAGCGTTGAAAAGGATGCTGTGGAGTCAGGGAAGGTTTTTCCCACCAGCCTGGCTTCCCTCCAGTTTCTCTTCCACCCCCCTCCCCCAGTCTTTTTCTGGGCGCAGGGCAAAGGCTGCCTAGGCAGAAGTTTTGCTCCTGTTGAGTGCCAAAGTTGGCATTGCTTTCAAGCATCTGGAAAGTCAGTCGCAGCCGCCAGCAGCTGAAGTGGCCTTGGTCTCCTTACGATTACCTCCACGCTGATGGGAGAGAGCAGAAGCTGGAACCTTGCGGAGGAGAACGGTTTCTGCCACTGGCACAGTTTTCCCACCCCTGTAAAATCCTTTCAGTCCTTGACTGAGAAGTTGCAGCTGCATGTTTTTATCATTCATCTATTCTAAGAAGTAGAATGTGTTTGCCTGGCCTTCAGTTCCATTTTGCACACAATATGTGGCCTCCTGTGACGAGTTTATACAGGTTTCACATCCTTCTCTATTGGTTTTTTCTGTTATAGAAAAATGATCCTCATCTGACCTATTCACCTTTAAGAAGCCACATTTGGACTCAACTTTATGATAAATGATTTCACAAAGAAAACTTAACTAAATAAAACACAAAATTATACCAGCCATGCTGTCTGGCATGCATTTTATCACTGGCAGAATAATGTCTTTTTAAATCATAATTCTTTCCCTGAATTTCTTCTTCAGTCCTCCGCACATTAATGGGCCATAAAGCAAATATTTGCAGCCTCGATTTCCATCCTTATGGAGGCTTTGTAGCTTCAGGCTCCATGGACACCAACATTAAGGTAAGGCCAATCCCTCTCATTCTCTCCCTCCCTCTCCCTTGTCTTGTGGAATGATGATGAATGTTGTGACGGGCAGAAGCAGATTAAATGAATTAATAGTCAGTGTAGTCAAATAGCTGCTTGGAGTTCTTGTTTTTGAATGTGTGTTTTTGCCACTTCTGAATTCTGGTCCATGTCTTGGTCATCCTGTTGGAGTCTGCATTTCTTCATGAACTAAAGATGGGGAAGAGTTTTGCTGCTTTTCAAAAGCGCCCAGAGATCTGAAAGAGATGAACATTGTTCTGGGTAACCCTGAACAAAGATACTTTTCCTCCAACGTGGTGACAGCCAGATCTTGCACCATTACAAAACTCAGGAGGAAGAGGAGGAGGAGAGGAATGCAGAAGAAGTTCCAAGAAAAACAGAGAGATACTTCTTAGAATGCGCCAAATATCCCTTTCACATTTTACTAGCTCCGTGCTCTGAAACAGTTGCTCAGTCCCAAGTCAGAAATAAGGACGTCTTAACGTTAAGTCAAACTTGGATTGATTAGGACAATTAAATGTTTTCTTCTTTTAAAAAGAAACACTGTTTTTTCTTTCATGCAGCTTTGGGATGTAAGAAAAAAAAGTTGCGTCTTCAGGTACAAGGTAAGAAGAAAAATGCCTCCTATTTCAGCTGATACCCTGAAACCCACTTGTGCAATGAGTAGCATTTACTAGGACAATTTGGAAAGCTTTATGAATCAGGAATGATCAATATACTTCTCATAAAGAGAAAACAAACTACATCCAGAGGCCAGGGGAGGGAGGGGGCAGAAGAGGCAAGGGAAGCCGTCCTTTCGCAGACCTTGCCCTGGGATGTCCAGGGTATCTTGTGGGGTCTCCCCTCCTTCGCTCTCCTTTGCTGCCTTAGCTGACCATCACCACCACCACCTGGAATTTCTCTGGGTGTGTCATCCTAGGGGATGACTTTGGCCAAGACCTTCCTTCTCAGCCCAGCCTCCCTATTGGCTGCCATTGTCTAAAGACGGGAGAAGCAGGTACTTTGAATGTTGCCTTGAAGGAAGGGCCGGATGCAAATCCCATTTCCCTCTGCAGGGCCACACAGGAGCTGTTCGCTGCCTCCGCTTCAGTCCGGATGGGAAATGGCTGGCCTCTTCCTCTGATGACCACACGGTGAAGGTAGGTGGGCCCTGCAGCCTCCTCCTCTCTCTCCCCTCCCTTTGATGGCAGCCTGGACCATTGAGCAGCTCAGCTGATGGGTGTGAAATTTGCAAGCGCTCTGGCGAGAAAAACTCTTATGGTTCTTTCCCTACCTAGTTGTGGGACCTGGCGGCTGGAAAGATCATGTTTGAGTTCACGGGACACATGGGACCAGTAAACGTCATTGAATTCCACCCCAATGAGTACCTTTTGGCCTCAGGGAGCTCCGACAGGTAAAGTCACCTCTGGCTGGGGCTGGAGATGCTTTTTTGAGGTGGGAGATTTGCCGAGGGCTTGTTAGAATATGTCACGAGGGCTCATAGTTGGCCTGCAGGCTTTGAATTTTTTTTTAAGAAGTTTTTTTTAATTTTAATTAAACAAAAACACAAAAAAGAATCATCCTTCATTACATCTTGTAGAAAGCGTGTCGATTGGTTACAGATAACTTTCATGTATTTCTTCCACAGTCATTACTTATAGTTCATATTAGATTATACACTTTAAATCAAAAATCTTTGTATATCTTACTATCAATGTACCACCATTCTCATTTGACTA